TTCTGAAGCTATCCAGTGTGAGAAAGGCTTCCCAAAATGTCAGGTASTAAGGGGAAGGCAGTTGCTGTTTAATCAGACATGTATTGTTTTAGACCTTCCTCAACGACTGACTGGGAATTCTGCTTCTTGCTCTGAAAAACAGAAACGACATCTTTTGTTTGCTTGACCCTGAAAGGCAGAGGAAGTTGAAGACTTTATTTATTCAACCCTAAGACATGGGAACTTACAGACCATTGTCACTTCCCAAAGAGCTTTTGTTTTTATTTTCCTCCTCAGCCTGTGTGGGTTCTGTTTGCCTTACAGATTTTTCTGCAGTTTGCTACCAGCCTTGGACATCTGTGAGCTGCTTGCACATGGCTGTCAGTTCAAAGGAGGTTCTTTGTGGCTGCTTGTAAATGCTGCTTGATGGCAGAAATCGCTCAAAGTTTTGATCAAAAAGCCTTACCACTAGATTTGTTTTCCCCCTTTTTAATTAGAATGGGTGTTATTTCAGAGCACTTTTGAAGTCTGTTACATCAGTATTATGATGGATGGCAGGAAGGGAAGCCAAGGGAAGTGGTCATGATCAGAAGTTGGCCAACACAACAGAGCACATGGACTTTGAAAAAGTCATCATTCCATTCCATTCCATTCCATTCCATTCCATTCCATTCCATTCCATTCCATTCCATTCCATTCCATTCCATTCCATTCCATTCCATTCCATTCCATTCCATTCCATTCCATTCCTGCCTTTGGGAGATTATTTTGCTGTTGGATTTCGTGACAAAAAGCAACCCTTAAGAGAACAGGGCTCCTTAAGAGCCCAGAAACACAGAGGTTATCAAGGGTCAGGCACACAAACAGCTCTCTCAAAGGCAGACTGAAGAAAAGCCTCACTSGGCTACATCAGACTGAGGACCTATCCAGAATATTTGTAAAAAAATTCAAAACTCTTTGTCACAGTTGCCAATTCCAACAAAACRAGCCTCAGAATTCACCAGGGGCTTTCTCATCAGATCTCTCTCTTTTGTTTTGGCTGAGAGTGCAGACACCAGCCCTCAATTTAGAGAGAACAAATGATGGAAGGACTTTCACATATAGGGAGCTGTTTAGCACAGGGATCCTAAGAAGAGAAAAGTCCTTTTTGGTCTTTGTGCTGCTGCTAAGGCCATACTCCTAGCGAGTATACACCTGCACAAACTCTTAAGAGCTGCTCCTACCAAGAGCAAGTGCAAGCTGTGAGAGTCCCTCACCAAATCCTGGGGATAACTGCATTCCTKAAAGGGGCTTCTTGGGCCAAATGATGGACTGGATCTCTGACACAGTCTGTAGGCACGTCCTCACTCCTGTGTGCTGCAGGGTGCAGTCCTGCTGGGCTGGGCTGCAGAGCTGCAGGCATTCTGCAGACACAAAAGCCTTGTGCTCAGGGTGGGAAGAGTGGCTCAGCTATGCTGTTCTCTATAGGTTACTTGGATCCAAAGATGGATGTTGTAACSCACCGCATTTTTTACAGCAGTTAAGTAAATAGAGGGCTAATGGCAGATGGTTTCACTTAAACTTCAAGAAAGGCACCGCCTATATGTCAATTTGGAATTGGTGTAATGAGCCAACAACATTCCGAATTACAATAAAAGCAAATTTAGGAATGAAACCTACTGGAGACTTAACTGGTCTCAAGTGCAKAGTTAGATTTCTAAAATAATAGCTGCAATCCAGCATAACAAACATGACTTGCTTGAAAACAAAAGCCTGAGTTTAACTGTAGATTGCAGTTCGTTTCTATTCCCATGAGAAACTGCAAGATATTTCTGCTTGGAATAACTTCTCAGGAAGGCACACCAATGGTGCCTCCAAAACCATGTGAAGTGGGACTAGGACTACCCAATTCTGCTTTTTTTCCCTCCAGGTTTACTAATGCTGAGGTTCTTGGGTACCATCAGGCAGATCCTCTGTATTACACGTGTCCACAAATGCTGGGGCTTTGGTATTTGGAAGAGGCAGCTCAAAATTGGGCATGGCTGGCTGCAGGGACCAAGGGGAGAGCTGTACCACGGGACAGCAGCCAGCAGGGACATGGGAGAAGGGCAAAGGGCTGGCAGAGCATCTGGGGAGGCACAAAAGGAAAGGCTGCCAGCAAGCATTGACTGTGAACTGGGGCATGGCCCAGCAAGCTCAGAAAGGAGCTATGAGCAGCGGGGAAGAAGGAAAAGAGAGTAAGAGGGGGAGGATTAACATGAACCAATGTGCAAGTTCCTATGCTTTAAAAAAATTACCCTTAAACATATCTAATACATGTTAACACATTAAACATATTTATATAGGAGATACATTTCTGTGCACCTGTACAGTGAGGATCTGACTCTATCCTCATGTTCACAGAGGTGCATGGGTGATTCAGGCTGACTGTGAGTAGGAGCTCATGGCACAGTGTCACAGGGTGATGGCCATTTTTACTGCTTTCCAACATACAGCAAGTGAACACTTGAAAGCAAGTTTTTATCTTGAAAATCAGTAACATACTGCCTTCTACAAAATTTCTTAAACTCCCATCTTATTGACTGCACACAAGTGCATGTGCACATCTATCACAAGGCTGTCTGCTGATATYTGCCACTACCTCACAGCACAGGGACTGCCACTTTCCTCCCAGAAAAACCCTTRTCTCTGCTTTGTAAACTGGAGAAAACTGCCAGATCAGTGCTGCAGAACCACATAATGAACCTCTATGCAGAGCCACGTGGGACAGCAGTGGACAACTCATTCTAATTTGTACTCACTGTCCATAYCTCTTCTCTGCCACTGCAGCCTGCAGAGGGAAAGGCTCAAGCCAGCTAAAGGCAGCCTCTAGCAGATCTCAGAAGGCATCAGAGCAATCAAAGTGTCATCAGAAAAAGGGAACTGTCCTGCAGGGAAAAGACTGTCCAAGCAGTTCTAAGTGTTGGCTCTCAACTGCACTGTCAAGTGTTTCATCTTTGGAAACAGTATCATGAGTAAACTTTAGTACACAGAAAAACACCCTTCAGAAGCAGGTGATGAAGCTCTGAAAACTTTTCAGAATGAAGACCCCTTCACTTGCATTCCTGTCATCTGCTCTGCCAGGGCTGTGGCAGCAAAAAATGAAGGGCAAGAAGCGGCAGTAGAAAACGTTTCCCTTCTTGCACAGAGGCACAAGGAAAGAGGTGATGAGTTTTCACTGAACATTTTGCCCATTTCTCCAAGGGAGACTTGTCCTTTTCCAGCAGCCAACTCTCTGCAGGTGCACAAAGAATTAAGGTGGGCTTAAAGGAACAGCAGACAGCTGGGAGGAAAGCTTTGCTGTCAGCTTATCTCCAGATGCTTGTGCAAGACGTATTCAGTCCCCACAGAGGCAGAAGAGGGTGGAGAAGCAATGTTCTCAAAGGAAWGAAATGGGTTCTTCTCCGGGGAGAACATTTCAGGGAATCATTTCCTCCAGGTTATCAACAGTTGAATTAAAAATCAAGCCAAGTTACCTACTGGCTCTTTTGTGTCTTGTAACTTTTTCCTAACACCTGGCTGGGTGTCACAGAGGAACCCATGTTTGATGCCATTGTTTACTTAATGCTATTCTTGTGTCTCATCTGTTTCGACATCTCTGCCCAAATCCCTGGACATTTTTTTRTTTCCTGGATTATGCCGATGTTCCAAAGAAAAATCCCGAAGAACTGAAAAAAAATGTAATTTCACAATGTTTCATTATTAATGAAGGGTAAGATTTGTCACTGGATTCTGGTGCATATTTTCCAAATTATATTTACTACAACAAATGAAAATCTACTTCAACTAAAACAGGACTCAGTAAAATGTTAAGAACAAATCCTTTGTAACTTACAAACAATGATTGTACTTCAAGTGATAAAGTGCCCACTTGCATGTGATAATTCAGGTCAGCCAGAAAAGGATTTTTGTAATAGACATAAAAAGGGAGTTTCAGGCAGATAAATGCCAAAAATAATTCTGATACATGGAATGAAAATTCCCCTAGGACYGCTGTACAGATTATCACACTCAGCTGTACTGCATGGGAAAGTGCAATTATCAAAATGCCAAAAGCCTGAACTGATTTTTTTTTTCTTAGTTTATGGAAATTCGCATCATCAGATAATGTTTTCGGCATGCTGGGATTTAACAATAACATTTGGGTTTATGATTCACATGTACTGTAAAACACAGATGTTTTAMAAAAAGCATTATGTGCACAGTTATTCAGAAATTAAAATTTATACTGTTCTGGGGTTCTCGATGCATTTGATGAGTGTGGCAGTGACCCTGTGCCCCAAACATGCTCTCACTTGGCAATTCCTCACCATCTGAATTAATGATACATTTGTGCAGTCATGTCCTGTCTCTCAYGTGGGACTGAAATGCTGACCCAGAACATTTCTGTGCACTAATAAGCCTGTGCCCCAGTGCAAAGCTGTTTTCTCTGCTGTCCTGTAGCACTGCAATGTGATGGTTATTAATCCTGACCATGCAGTGCYGAGAGGTCCCACTCACACTGAGTGTTGTATAACAGCATGGTAAACAGCTGAGGAAGGCCAGGGAAGGCAGTCAGCATCCTAACAAACCAGCAAGGCCAAGGAATTTGCCCTGCTAGGCAGGCGTAGGAGGAACCCAAACGAGGAGATGAGGACAGTCTCCACAGGATCTGGAAGCCACCAAGTTAGAGAAGTTAAATCCCAGTCAAGTAACCCTTAATCAGCTGGGTACAAATCACCAGGACTGCAGGGCACCCTCCCTGTCCTTGAAGGAGAGAGAATGAGACACTGCACAACTGCTGGCCAAGTCCCCCACCTCTCCTCACTGGGTGCCCAGGCACGGGTGACCTGCCAGCACCACAGCTCCACTGGGGACCCTGGCAACTAAACCCCAGTAATGACCAGTTTGGCTTCATATAAAGCTCTGATGCCAGACATTTGGCCTAAGCTTGCTTACCACGTATGAGTCAGGCACATCTCTATGAAACTGTTCTCTTATCATTCTCCTTCTTYAGGACTTACCACTGACGTTTACAGCTGGCAGCACTATAGACATCTTTGGTCTCCTGGTCTTGTTATGGGTGGTGGCTGGCAGTAACAGGTGGTCCTGGAAAACAGCAGAAAAGATGGGTTAAAGCTACTCTCAAAGCAGAGAGCTGGGAAAATGCCTTTCCATTCTTTCTGACTGGCGTTCCACGCTGAACTGTTTACAACAGCTCAGAAAATTCATATTGTTGAGGGAGTCTTCCAAAAGTCAYGGCAATTGCTCATGCTGTGTAACCRAGAAGAAATCCCCATTGCATGCAGCAGAACATGAAAAAGCCTTGATCATGTGGAAAGAGATGGAAACTACTATTAGGCCCTCATTCAACAGGGTGCCTATGTATATGATTAAAGTAATTTATCTAGATTTCAATGATATTTAAACATGTGGTTAAGGACCTTGCTGAATTGAAGGCTTTACTTGCAGAGCTTTACTTTTATCTGTAAGTCATCTTGCTGTCCCTGTCAAGCTCCACWCCACCACGGTGCAGCAGGACTGCACTGGTCAGAGCTGGGATGGGGTGTGAAACAAGAGCTCTGCTGACAAAACCTGCCCAGGRAGTTGGATGGTAGAGCTGTGCTKTAGTATCTTATCTCTATTATCTATACTACTTTAGTATCTTATCTCTAYTATCTTATCTACTTATCTCTACTTCAGTATCTTATCTCTACTACATATACGTTGTTATATGCAAACAGTGTTCAAACTGACCACCCTGGCTCTGACAATGGGAGCTGCAGCTGCAGGGAATGCTCTGGATACAGACCTGGCCTGCAAGGAAAAAATGCAGGCTGTCTTAAGGGTCCTTTTACTGTTACTGAATTCAAGCTGCTCAACTTACAGCTTGAAAAGGGTTCTTCCTTTATCAGCAGAACTTAAAAGCTCTGATCCAGGCATCTCCCATATTATTAAGCAAGTTTGATGTTCTCCTTTCACGCTTTCCCATGCTTTTCCCATRCAAACATCTCATACTTTTGGGCAAGGTTATCTTTTTGGCAGACTGAATTAGACTTSCTTCAGGACACATTAATTTATTCATGTCAGGGTAGCTGTATTTTTGCCATTTTGAAACATAAACACTACRTTGTTATATGCAAGATTCAGGGAAGTGTGTTACACACGAGTTAGGTGTTAAATACATCAAGMTATTCTGTAGATACATTGCAGAAATACCACTCTCTTTTTTTCCCATCAAAAATTTCCCCCCTAAACCACCAAATGACTGACCATGAGAAGAAAAGATTACTTAAATAAATGTCTGCAAAAAACATCTCAGTACCAAAATTATAAAACCACTCTGGTATAATTCTCAGATCACATATGTAATTCCCATTTCACTTTTGAACTTTTAAGATTAAGACAACATTCACTTAGACAATGAACCTCACATAAAAACAGTTCTTGAAATCCAGTGTTCCCAAAGGAACAGACCAAAGATAAGATGTCCATTAAATTACATTTTGTAACAATGCCCTTGTCATGATTTSATGACTATTTTTAGCAGAGCTTTAAAAATGCTTATACTGGTGGKTTTTTTTCCCTTTTTCAATGCTAAAGAGAGTCCACACCATCATTACCTACCAAACCACAAGTACTGCACAGATAATCACCTGAGAGTCATTACAAGTAGCAACTGCTTTTTGCTAACCCATCTGAAGATTGGTGCAATAATTTATGCTGCATTATAAAGGTACCTTTATTTATTGCATGTATAAATTGTATTAAGAACCACCATATGGACTTCACAGCTGTATTCAAATGTGCTTTGGAGCTGCTGCACAACTTCCCAGTCATTCAGAGAAGACACACAAACAAAAAGCTCTAAACCCAGACTGCCACATGTACTAATCTGTAAAATGCACAGTTTATTTAGAAGCTGCCCATCTACAAAGAGATGTTTTTTTAAATCTGGAGTTCAGGAAATTCATCCATCTCCCGGATCATCTTTATCTTTCATATGCAGGAATGTCCCTCTGCCAATCAGCCCAAGCTTGCAAAGTTTCATAACCACCCTCATTCTGCACTGAAGTTAAAGGATATACTGCAGAATATCAGATATTTTGACCACAGTTAGCCACCCACAACATTCTCAAGCCCAGAAGTCTTCAAGTAGTCCAAATTTTTATTTGTAAGCAATACATAATTAATTCTATGCAGCAGAARTGAGTGTACAGATTAGTGATTTGGAAGAAATCAAGATATTTAGAAGCATTATTTGAATGTATTTCTAAAATGTCCTATGCTGTTCTGAAGGATGCTGAATTGCATCCCAGAGGGGGATGTGACACTATTACTCATCCCTAATTTTAAACARTAGACCAAAAAAAAAGACCCCTAAATTAAAATATTGCTTGTGATATTAACACATGGTATAAAACTGAAAATGAATAAAAGCAAATTTTGCAAGTCAGCATCTGGGTCAGGAGCATGAGTGTCAACCAGAGGCAGAATAAATCAGAACTATTACCCAACWACAGATGGCTTTGGCTTGGACCAGGAGCTGCACTTAGAGGACAGTTTAAACAGATGAGGCAGACCTGAGACTGCTGGCAGAATGACTGGAAAAATATCAGTCTGGAAAGAATATTTCAMATGAGACCCTCGCTTCAGCATTCTCATTTTGCTTTTGATCATCTCTTCAGTTCTGTGATACTGAAGCCAGATGAGATGGACAGACAGATAAATATAGACACAGATACTAAAAATCCAGCCACTAATACATTATCTTAATTCAGTAAGTCTCAACAACACACTGCAATAAGGATTCTGAGGTTTCTAGCATATCAGATCAGTGTTATCAGGGCTCTAGCAGGGATTCAGCTTTAGAGCCTCATGCATCCTTAACCCCCACAATGGCAATGAAAATCCTGTTCCACAGTGCTAGAATATTCCAAAAGTCCTGCTGCTCCTGCAGCTTCAGCCTGAGTCCCAAAGCATGTGGTTTGGTAGTCAAAGKCCCTCCTACCTAGCTGCATGAAAATATGCAAGCATTTAAACTTTCATTAAAAAAATAAAATTGGCTTTAACTCTTATAGTTAAAGAACATAAACAAAACATTGTGACTGCATACCATGAAATTTCATTAAACAGAGAAAAAAAATGCTAGGCATGGGTCTTTTTTATTTCATTTTGTTTCTTAAACTATCATCACTTCATAAGCTGGAGTCTTGGCTTTTAAATTAATAGAACTGGCACTAYTGCTTGTTTTGGTTTTTTGCAATGCATGTCCCAGCAGCCACAGCACCTCCCTGGGAGCAGTCCTGCACCTCCTCCATCCCTGTTTCATTGTGTGACAGAAACACACAGGAATTAATCCTCGCAGTATGCCCATGACGGAGGGAAATATTTCAGGGAATGTTTGGAGGAGAGGTGCACGCATTTGAGGGAAGCCCATGTGACACAGGACACAAAGGAGCAGATTTCCAGCCCGGCAAGGCTCTGCACTCTCAGCATGAGCTGTCTTTCCTCCTATCCCAGAGGTTACTAYCTGTCAAATCAATTCCCCCAGATTTTTCTTACCTTCTTAGCTGTCATGCTTAGGTATGGATAAGTGTTTCTCAAAAGCCTTTTCTGGGGTCTTAATTAACGACACTTGATTTSGATGTGCTTTGTTAGAGCACATTTAGCACATCTGCCCGTGTGAGCACTGCTGGTTGTGCTGCTGCAGGGCARRCTGAGCCTCTGACCCTTCCCACTGCCTTGGAGCTYGTACCCTGCAAAGTACAGATGTGATCYATGCAGRAGYYSAGGCTCCAGGAACACAGCCCCCAGCCCACTTCCCACAAAGACYTTGTCAAGATGTCCCAAGGAGCCCTGCTCTTCGTTAAGAGATCCATTTCTGACAAACCAGAGATAACCTTTTGCAAAAACAAGTGACATTTGTTGCTTCACTGTAATAAAAGCTCCGAGGAGACTGGATTAAAATACAAAAGGAAAACTTTAATGTGCTGTTCTGGTAATTGGCCTTGATGAGGAGATTTGATCTTTACCATTGCCTTGGAGACCAGCTCTGTGCTAGAATATTGYAACCAACAAAGGCAAACAGAGCAGAGGGGGCACAGGGAGCCAGGCGCCTCGGCGTGCCAAAGGGCACTCTGTCCAGCAGCTTCTCACAGCAAACAAACACTGGAGCTGGGCATTTTTTCATCTCTGTTTATGACTAAGAAGTCTCTCAGGGAATCGTGGGCCTCAACCTCTTCCAGGCTGACTCTTCCCACTGTGTGCTAGGACCACACTACAGCCACTGCCGACCACAGAGGCTCCCCCACATCCCACTCAAGTGCCATTTTTCTTTATTGGCATTGCCTCTGGCTGTGTTCAACACCTCCTGACAGCCTAAAAGCTTATCTCTTAACTATCTGACCACACCTAGTCATCTCAAGATGAAGCAGATGGACAGCAAGTGCTTTTTCGATCATACAAAAATGGTTCATCAAATCCATGCACTGTCTTTCAAACCTATCTATTCTGAACATCTTCAGGGATTTTAAGTCAATGACATGACATGGGACCTTTACAGATATGCTTTTGACAATACAAAGAATGTGAAACAAAAATGTCCTCTCCCAGGCCTAGAAAATTGCATGTCACTTCAGAGACTGATTCAGAGTACAAATACTCCAAGGAACTAGACTTCTTAAGCCCCTGGGCTGGCAGAGCCCATGAGCTCCCTTTTATCCCCACAAACCACAGATTTCACGATTTTGAAAATTTCAGGATCATCATTTCAGGCTTTCTGCTGCTGCCAGAGATGTGATTGTCTGTCCTGCTCCTACACAGGCCTGGCCCTGAGCAGCATCACAGCCTTTGGCACACAATTCCTGGCCAAGAAATGGTACCTGAGAACTTCACTCTCAGGAATCCAGGGCTGGATTTCAGCRGCTCTCCAAATACAAAAGGAGGCTGTTCTCCAGCGTAGTCAGGGCCAAGGGGCTAATTCTCATCTGCCCAGCAGTTCCCAACATTGCAAAGCACAGGGCACAGATCAGGGTGTAAATGGGAGTCAGGCCTTGGCACTTCTGGTTTCCTCTGCCAGTTCAAGGAAGACGTGTATAAAAGTTTAC